GTGACCTGCAATGATCAATGAAACAGTATACTGCAAAAAACATTTATTACAGAAACTGTAAAACCTGTTTCAATCCATAACAATTGCACTTAATCACAAATACATTCCACTTTTACAAGTCTTTCTCAGTTTTTTTAGTGCTCTTGTAAACAAACTGAGCTTTTGCCTAAAAACTAAGCTCATCAAATTGAATGTAGATAATGTAACATTACCTTCCTTGAACTTAATTGCATTTACCAACTAGTGTTTTACTCATAAACATTAAACAGGATGTTGCAGCTTATCATACCAACATTACACTACAACTTTTTTTGAGAACTGATCAGTGAATTTAACAGCCGTTTGCTTGAAATGCAAACTTTGCAGACTTCTGGTAACATGTTTGCCCATCCTTACTGAAACAATGACGCATGACTTATTTCATTTATATCTCACTGAAGAAAGACAGGATATCAGAGAGACCCTTAACCTGATGCACCTTGGAGTTGAACTCTTCTGCTCTGCATTTCAGACAGTTATCTGCATTTAACAGCCACTGCTGCACACATGTTCGGCATCCAACTAGAGACTTGCAACATATGGCAAACATGGGCTCTGACAGTAGAGCTGTAATTTCGGAACTGGGCCGCGGCACAGGGGATCCGCTCCAGGAGCTGTCTCAGCCGCAGAGTGTGCATCTCACCAGTATGCATGAGCGCTCCCCGTCACTGGAGAGCCCCATCATTTCTCAGGACAGGATGCCCTCTGTGTCCAGTCGTTTCGAGGAAAGTGGAGACAACGGACGCATCCCTCACGGGCTGGGGAGCTATGTTCGAGGGCAAAACAGTGAGAGGAGTTTGGTCTCCGGCACAGAGGGAAGAGCACATATATTTTCTAGAGCTACTGACAGTGTTTCTAGCTCTGAGACAGTTTGTGAAATTTCTCAAGAATCATCATTTATTGGTCAAAATGGACAATACAACGGTGATAGCATATATAAATCGGCAGGTTGCGTACGTTCTTTCAAACTTCACATTAGCGAAGAAGCTGATAATGTGATGATTGCTATGAGTGAGAGACAGAGAGGAGGAGTGCAAAAATAAAACCATGCCCTCTATTCAATATTCCGTTTCAACTGGAAATACATCACCACACTGAAATAAAGCTGACAGCAACTTCCGTTTCACGCAGACTTTAAGGTTTACTTTGCTGCTATCTCGGCATGCCATATAGGACTCGACTCGGGTACTATAGGCCAGCATCCTCTTGTTTGCTGATTTATGAGAGGAACCGTGGTCCTGAACGCGCTAACCAAAGCCCCGTTCGAGCCCATTGAGAGCATCTCCTTAAAGCTACTTTCTTTAAAGACTCCTCTGTTACTTGCTCTTACTACTGCAAAAAAAGGTGAGTGAACTGCACACGTTATCAGTTCACTCCTCATGTATGATGTTCACTCTGGGTGTTTAGAAGGTAACTTTTAGGACTAATCTGGAGTTTTTGCCTAAAGTATTCGATCACTCTGGTTCAGGTCATTCAGTGGATCTGATGGCTTTCCATTCATCACTTTTCTTAGGTTCTGAGGAAGAGCGGTGTGGTAGATTTTTATTAATCCAAATAGAAATTAATCAAGTATAATCATTAGTAATATAGCCATTTAAATATCTAGTTATACTTCCTATTCCTATTCCTATTATAATCCTATATGCCTGTGTGTAAAAACATGCCTACGTGGCAGAAGTACAGACCTCAGATGAGAAACATCTGTAAAAACCATAAGTGGGGGTCTTTTCTTTAACATAACAAGACTAGAGAGGAGGGGCTTTTGTCTCTAGTGAGAATGATATGCACAAAGGAACCATTATATGTATGGAAAAACTGTATGGAATATTTACCCCACGCCTCCAAATCCAAATGTATAAAAAGAAGACAAGATGATCATTCTGGAGATGTGTTTTCGCTGCAGAGAGAGCCATCTCCGCTTTATTATTTATTATCATTGATGATGTAATAAAGTGTATCTACTGGCATCAAAAACAAGACTGAGTGTGGTTCCTAAGATGAGAAGCAGAAGACACCACAGCGGCTACACTGTTTATGTCTGGTGTGGACTTTACAAATGTATGTACAAAGAACCAGGGCACTTTGCAACAGCAATCAGCTTTTTGTTTCGTGGGCTGACTCTTTTAAAGGAAGCCTGTCTCCTGTCAGCGAATCTTGCACTGGGTTGTAGAGGCGATCCTGTTATGTTACAATAACACGAATATAGAGCCTCCAAGGGAGATACAAGCTCACTCGAGTAGAGGGATAGCTATGTCCTGGGCTCTATTTAAGGGCATTTCTATTCAGGAAATATGTGCGGCAGCTAGCTGGTCTTCCCCACATACCTTTGAGAGGTTCTACAGACTGGATGTGACAGAACCTTCATTTGCCCACTCTGCCCTGGGAGAGAGTGGACAAGTAATCCATTAAGCACTTGGGTATTTCCATTTTACTTATTGTCAAATTTTTCAGACTATACTGATCTGTTTTAATCACTTGAGTTGAGTCAGAGAGGTATAATCCAGATCATAGTCAACTTTAGTCTGCTTCGTCAGCATATCGGCAATATGGGAATGGTCTATATCCCATAGTGAGATACCGAACAAATGTTAGAAAGAGAACTTTAGGTTACTAATGTAACCCCTGTTCTCTGATAACATGAAGTGAGGTATCTCACAATATTGCCCTCCTTGCTTGTCCTGCACGGAGAAGAGATATGCAGAGAATGACGTTACGGCAGGTAGCTGTGGGTTATATACAGGGAGGCGGGACTGGTGACATTGGTGCTTCTGCAGTCAGTCACGCCTGGGGCTTTCCCATAGTGAGATACCTCACTTCATGTTATCAGAGAACCGGGGTTACGTTAGTGTTAGAAAACACTCTCTGTCTGTATTGGTTCCAGATGTTTTCACCCTCCTTTTTCTTCTCTCCCTCTCTCACTCGCCCTCCCTGTACAGCGCACGGTTGTCTCTCTCTGATTCCCCCCTCCTCCATCTGATCTGCTCTCTCTCTCTTGTATTATGTTTTAATATCTCTTACTCATATTCGAGGTACGCATGCGCACATGTATGCATTAGCTTTTCTGGGTTCAAATGTTCAAATGAGGACACGAAAGCTAGGACTCCAAGGTAATGGGGTTCGTGATGAACTATGAAGATAGTTCAGCATTCTTCGCCAAGTTTATTCCTAATATGTCCATATTTTCCTGTACATGTGGCCATTTTGTATAACACATATTCTTGGCCAAAATCCTATATGTATGTCATCTATATCCTCATTGGTTAAAGGGTTGAAACTCCCCTCGACATATGCCTATATAATATCTTTGTATCTATGAATAAAGTTGAAGTATTGAGAATACCATTTGATGTGTGTTTTCTTGCTTCCCGGCCGTTATGCACTTTAAGGGACTGAGAATTTTCCAGGTGGCAAAGAGAATCTATAGGGACCGATTGTTAATTACTGACAGTTAGTAAAGTTTTGTTTGCTTGTCAAACAGAGAGTGTGTATAGTAAATAGAAACTGAGAGCATATAAATCTTTAGATGCCTATAACTATGTACTAAGAGTGGCGATTTTAAGCAAATGCAACTACTTGAACACACACCTGACACATAACATGGGCCTTCACTGTTCCCTCTCTCTACAATTGCACTTATGGCAATTGTAGAAAGCGAGATGACACAAAGGGTTTCCTTTATATTTAGCCGCTGGTCGTTAGTTAACTTGTTCCCCAATGTCTGATTAGGTGGGCATGCATGAGAAATCTTTAGACTCGTAACTAAACCAGGTTCGTAATCCATAAAAGACAACAGTTTATTTAACCTTAACTGATAATAAGTGTGTGCAAACGCGAGCATTTTTGATGATCGTTTCTGTCAGTCCGCTCGTTTTATTACAGCTGTCGTTGGTATTTGTCTGGCATGGCAGCAGGTATGTGATAAAATTTCAAATTGGAGCCTGTACACCATCAATTCTGACACCCAAAGATTACATTTTAAGCCCCTAATGTAGCCGACTCTGTGCTTCTGTGCTGGTTTGTATTGGCCGCCTCCAGTTATTTGTCAATTGTGATGTCGGCATAGAAAGGGCCCCTAAAAACTAAAAGGTAAATTATCTTCCTAACTAAAAAGCAATGATCTCCCTTTCTTTATGCCTGTTATTTACTCTTATTTGCTAAGATGTAGTTCAATTACATCCAGCCCCGTACGCCAGATCCTATCAGAAAATATCAGTTTTGTCTGGTAACAGAACAACTAGTCAGCAAAATGGCCTAATAAAAAAAACCGTTATAAAAGCAAGTCTTGTCTGGTACCCAAAACTCTTTTTACAGTCTTCTATCAGCCAAGAAGTTGATTGAGAAAAGTCAGAGAAGAACAGAAGCAGGAGACGAAGTGATGCTGATAAAAATGGGGCAGAGTTTATTGAATAGTCTTTGTTGTGTACTTTTCAATGCTCAGACTTCGTCTGAACACTCTCAGAAATAAAGGTACAACAGTTGTCACTGGGCCGGTACCTTTTCAAAAGGTACACTTTTGTTCCTATTAGGTTGTAATATGTACACTTTAAGTACCAATATGTACCTAAAGTACCAAAATGGACCCTTTAGGTACAAATATGTACCTTTAGAAAAAGTACCGCCCCAGTGACAGCTGTAGTACCTTTATTTTTGAGAGTGAAGAATACAAATCCAAGTAGTGTTATTCCAAACAACATCCCATAAACCTTAAATTTCCATAAACTCCCACTCTTATTCATGAAGACAAACAGCCCTTGAAACATAGTCATAAGACTAAACAACAATGGAGAAAATAATATAAGAAAACTAATATAATATTTCAATCAATGATTATAAATGATTATATGATTAAACTGAATAATAAAATGATTAAATGCTAAATGATTATTAAAAGAAAGAAAGTAAAACACAACACAAATGTATGGTTACTCTCTTGAAGCAAAACACATAGTTTGCATTTGAGGATTTTTAGATCTTTCACACAGGATCAATTAAGTTCCATAAAATAATTGTTTCATATTGCATTCTGCACTAGATATGGGTTAAATAAGATTTAGACATTCACAGGGGGAAAATCAGAAAACCACCGAAACTGGTGTAACTTGCTGGATCATCAAAAACCCAGGTGTTCTGCCAAAGTTGTGTAGAAATTTGATCACCGGTCTCCAGTGTGAGAACAACACCATTGCTGGCATTACCATTGGAGGTAGGCTTCCAAGCAAACACTGAGCACTGGGTTTTACCATTCTTCAAGAGACTGACTGCCATATTTGGTCCACCATGACTATGACCGTAAAATCTTAAGTAATAGGCTCCTTTCACTGGTGCTGTGAAAACACCTGCAATGCACATGTACAACGTAGCCACAGAAAATATCATATATGAAGAGGATTCTGCATTTGTCATGATATTCTCTTTACAGGACTTACCAGTATTTGGGTCATAGGCACCTCCAATATTACTGAAGACTTTTTTGTAGACCAGAGTTTTCGGAGTATTAATGGGCCCAGTGTGTCCTGTTCCAGATTCCAGAAGTCCAGCAGAAAAGGCAACCTTTTTGGCTATGAATAAACGAATAGACTGGTATGAAATGTATTACAAAATAAAATATGTAATTCAAAAAAATGTAAATGTCAACAAAGTGTGCCTTTTACTTGCCTTCATTCTCCTTTTGGACAGATTTAAGCTTATTTTGTGAATCTTGTACTATGGTTTTCAAAGCTGTTCAAATACACAAAGATGATAATGTCACAGTGTTGCTAAACAATGAACTTAAACAGATGTGTAAGTTGCAATTTCTTTAAAATAGTTCATAAATTGGAGTTTTTCCATAATGACGTTGAAAAAAATGCAACCACTTTTCCACCTTACCTTCATTCTCACTCAATACTTTGGCCAGTGTTTCTTCTAATTTTTGTATCCTTTCATCCATGTTTTTCAGTTTCTCAAGCTCAGCATATATGTTCACATTTGGTGAACATGAATCTGTTGCAAGTGAACTCCCAGCACAGAGCAGCAGTACCATTTGTAACACCACCATCGTCAGTTATTTTTCAGGTACTCAAATTACTCCTGTAATTATTCCACAATTCAGCTTTGATTTGCAAACGCTGTTACAAAAGCTTTGATACCTTTTCTTAAGGTTGCACAAGTTTGTAAACATTTATACTTTAGACTGATGTTGTGAGGGTTTTGCTTATTTCACTAATCAATCAGGACAAGTCAGATGTAGAATTGAGTGCACTAAAAGTAAATTTTCAGCATAATAAATGCATTCATAGATGATTAACTCCATGCAGGCCTATTAATAATCATTATAAATAAGTTGAATCTGACCTAAATTATAAGCATATTAAAATACTTACAATTGGACAGAAGACTCTCCGTAGTCTGTTCTGGCTCAAAGTCATAAATCGATGACCCGGGAGGCAGAAGTTAATTTATTCATAAAAATTTTTTTTAGCAGAATATTTAATCTATCTTCAAATACTCTATATAAGTTAAAGTACAAATATTAAAAAGTTTTTAAATCAAGGCAATATCAGAGATGGTTCTGGTGCTGGAGAAGCTCTTCAGGTCACAAAGCATCATCTGATTGTCACGGATACTGTCATTGTCACGGATATTTAAAGATAAGTTAGTGACCTCCCCAAATGAGGTCATCCAGACTGGGAATGCCTCCTTTAAAAGGCCTGTTTAATGTGTTCTTCTGCACTTCCTCTTCACTTTTTATCCATGGCAGCATACTAATAAAAATTCCTGCACACTAATAAAGTTTCTCTAAAACATGTTCTCTTCCCTACTTTGAGCATAAATAAGTCATCTGTAGAGTGATATATGTAGAGCAGCCTCATCTTTACAACTTTGACCTCAAATTATTATTAAGCACACTTACATGTAAATTGTATTATAATTTAAAATAATAATCATTTAAAAATTAATTTAAAGATAATATAATAATGTTGTGTTGTCTTTAATACTATAGACACAGCAAGTTTTACTCACAGAGATTTATTCGTCATAAAATGATTACTTCATAATTGTATTCGAGTCTTACACACATGCTATACAGATAATGTAGAGTCGTGCATTAATTTGAGTGATGACAGATATTATGGGAGTGGCTTGATGGAGCGCAGGAGATGCAGATAACATGATCTTGACCTTTAAAAAACTTTCATTAATGCTGTCACGTAACAAATCTGTTCAAATATCAAATTAAATGAATTGCTAATTACTACATTGACATAAAAATGTAAAATATTAGAAATCGTGAATATAAATAATTGGGAATCATGTAATAAATTAAAATAAAATAAAAACAGTGCACATTTCATTTATCTATTATAACATTTATGTAGTTTTGTTCGCTTGGCTGTTTCCTTATAAAAGTCCAAAAATTTGTCAAGTTTTTCATCAGGTGTCTTTATTAATTAAATATTAAATATTAAACGTTGCTGTCTTGCCGCCAGCCAATCACGGCACTGCTGATCGTGGTTTCGAGTGTCCATACATAGCCCCTTTTAAACCAACCCATGAATGTGCAATTATCTCAGATAACTCAATCCAGCCATACTAATCATCAACAACAGGTGCGTTCGAAGAACCCAATTAGCCAGATCCTGATTAGCGCGATGATATCATCTTGGATGTGACATTTCATCTCGGATGTAATAAGCAACGTACGAAGAATGGGCCCCAGGGCTTACTGGGCATTTACACATCAATATTGTGTGATTTTTGTCATGCTGAACAACAACAATTACTGTATTTGCATTATTATAAGGGGTAGGTTTAGAGTCGGGGTAGGTGTAGACGTTAATAAAACACAATCTAATAGATAGCAAATTTAATTTGTTACTTTCCGGTCGTAGCTGTATCCCTTCTAGCCACAACCCTTTAAAGAGTTATGGCAAACTGTATGAAGTTTGTTAGTCATGAACTGGCTCAAAACGTGCTTTTTCCTTGGAGGTTTGTTCTTTTATTTGTGATTGGCTTAATTTTTATTCATTCCCACCTCTGTGAGTGTAAAGGGAGGGGAGAAAAGAATTGACGATTGAAAAGAGCGGTCTGTTGTTTCTCTGTGAGCTTTAAGCCAAAAATAGACAGAAGTGGACAGTAATGAAAATCATTTAATTGCAGCTTCAAAGGGCGATCCCAACCGAGGAATAAGGGTCTTATCTAGCGAAACGATCAGTCATTTCTAAAAGATTTTTAAGTGTGTATATACTTTTTAACCATAACTCATCTTGCACTAGCTCTGGGATCACAACTTCATGCATTACGTAGTCACGTTGGAAAGGACACGTGTGATGTAGGCGGAAGTATACTGACAAAGCGAACATGCAAAGACTAAATCATATGCCCTTTACAAAAAAACAGTAAAACAACGATGTCAGAAGATTTTGAAGTTGGAGGAGAAAATGAGATGGAGTTTTTCGCCCTACCCTACCCTACCTGTCTGCGTAATGTGTGAAGTCATGGACGAGCATCACAAAGCTAGTGCAAGACGAGCATTATGGTTAAAAAGTATATACATTTTTATTTTTTTAGAAATGACTGATCGTTTCGCTCAGAAAAAAAAAATACATATTTAGAAAATGACGGATCATTTCACTAGATAAGAACCTTATTCCTCGGCTGGGATCGTGTAGAGCCCTTTGAAGCTGCATTGAAACTGCAATTTGGACCTTCAACCCGTTGGTCCCCATAGAAGCCCACTACATGGAGAAAAATCCTACTTAATTTCTTTTTCCTAGTTAATTTCTTTTCGACTGAAGAAAGACATGAACACCTTGGATGACATGGGGGTGAGTAAATTATCATGAAATTTTAATTGTGGAGTGAACTAATCCTGTAAGATGTGTGTGTGTGTGGTCCCATGCATGTAGCCTATATTGACTGCTAATATTTACTTTTCACTTATTTGCAAGAAGTGAGGTTTGGTGTTTTATAATATTGTTTGGGTTACCGAAGTAACAGGAGTACAGGAGGTACTGATTTTCCTATGTCAATTTAAACTGTGTTATTTGTGGTTCCCTGTTGTTCGGAATACCAGTTAATGTGAAGTTTATTCATATATGTTATATCATTTCCGGAACATGTAGTTTAAAAGGTATTTCTAAGAAAAAAACACAACTGACATTTTGATAATCAATAGCAGTCTTTATTGATTTCTCTGTTACATATATACATAATTCATTTATTTCATTTTCCCTATTTGTTTAAAAAATAAATCTAATTGCTAGCTTTCATAAACGTACCTTTTGTGTTGTTTGAAGTTATTCTCTGTTGGGTTAACTGCTATCTGTTATAGGCCTAGAAATTTTTCTGTTGGAGGGTACAAACCAGTGTGTTCATAATTAATACATTAAAATAATATGGTAAGATACACCAGTTTGCAATATCAAGCAGCAAAAAGAGCTGGTTTGTAGCTAATGGCCACCCCCACTCTTATGGGAAAAATAAGGTGGATACTCTGTACAAGAGTTTAATTTATGATTTGTTTTCTTCTGAGCTTATATATATATATAAAACGGTACGTACCTCGGTTTTGACATCACGGTTCGGTACATTTTCGGTACAGCGGGGGGGAATGAACCAAGATGGCGGCGCGTTCACACGCTGCGGCTTCTCTCTCTCCCGACAGAAAGGTGTTTTCATGTTTTTTGTTTTGTGAGTCGTTCGAAATAAGCTCTTTTGCACTACAAATCATTGTTTTTTTGCACTACAATCACTATATCTGCACTGTTTTACTTTTACTGGTTTGCACTCTATCTGCCATATGCCTTGTGCTTTATATATATATATAGATATATTTTTACATTTTACCTTATTTGTATAGTTGTATTTTGTATTTAATCTGTACCTATCTGTATTTATGTTATCTGTATGCACCAAGGGTCTGAGAGTAACACAATTTCAATTCTCTGTGTGTATGTGCTGTACATGTGGAAGAATTGACAATAAAGCAGACTTGACTTGAAACGAAACAATCTTTTTTTTAAATTAAACAGTGTTTTACTGAACAAATTGCTCTTTCTTTAAATTAATTCAGTTGTTTATTAAAATATTCTTAGGGATAAAAATCTACCTCGGCTTATGCTCTATAAACTATAGTGAGCACTTTAGGCCTACTATACAGTTAACAACAGAACCCAAACTTAAATTTAATTAATATTTATTTTTAAATATAACAAACAACAGTCAACTTTAAAAAAAAAAAATTATGCAAACATGTAAATCGCACATAATGCAGTTTTTAAATTAACTTTTAAATTATAAAAATTCTATTTGCTGTTGAAATATATTCATTTACACAGTGCCTCTCATAACTCGTTTCATAATTTAGGCTATTTAAACATTAAATAAGACATCACTCGGGTAAAAAAATATATAGTCAAAAAGTATATAGTCTAATATTTCGCGAAATGCTTTTCTCTCATTTATAGCGAACCAACAAGCTGTGGACACTGATGACTTCATGAGGTAAATGAAAAGCTATGTCACAAGCTGTTTTATTGCCGTCTTTCCGTGGTTGAAACACTGATTGAGCGATGTTTTGAAAGAAAAAAAATCAATTTTTAAAATTTCGTAAACCGTAATCTCAAGATACTTGCCTTCACAATAGAATGACGTTCTGGTGGATGACGTAGGATGTAGGTGTATCCTAAGGTCCAGTGAGAATAGTCTCGTGAGAACCAACGTTTGTTTACACAAGGAAAGGAAGCAAAGTATCCATACTGTAGCAAAGGAATTTGTATGCAGATGATATTTTGTTGTATCTTCAAGATTCATCCAATTCCTTAAAGGTGGGGTAAGCAATTTTTCAAAAACGCTTTAGAAAACTGATTCAGGCCGAGTAACAAAACAAACTTGTAGCCAATCAGCAGTAAGGGGCGAGTCTTCTCATGATGTGGAGGAGAGAGCCTTCAGTGCACAGGACGGACATTAGCGAGCCAAGCCGAGCGACAGAAAGATAGAGATGGCGGATAAAAAACAAAAGAGGAAAACGTCTGCAGAACAAAAGAAGGCTTAAGGCAATAAGGCAAGAAGTAGGACCTGTGTAAATATCGGATCAGCTTTCCAGCGCTGGAGAGAACTCAAGGAGCGGAAGGCCTGTGATCGGACGCCGAG